AATGGCAACAAGAGCAGGGTTCTTAAATTTTGTGTTAATCGGAATTGTCTTAATACATTTGCCCCAGTTTCACTTCAATAGATTCTGATTGAATAGCTTTGGGGTGAGGGCTTTGACATCTGTATTTTTAACATGCTCCCAAAGGTGATTCTGAAGGCACACCAAAGTTTAAGAATTTGACCCCAATTTTTTTATTCCTATATGTAATTTAACATTTATTTAATTATTTATTAGGAGGATAGATGAATCTCTAACAAGGAAAAGATGTGGTAGAGAGGACTGGCTTTCTTAATAGCTTTAATAGTTAAATATATCTAGATGCTTGCTACTTAATGTTTTCAGGAGTTGATTAAGGAGCAGACTTTAGGTAATTAGGATATAATTAAAACAGAAAGGTGACACTGATGATCAAGACCAGATTTTTCATATTGAGATGAGAAAAATGTTATCTTGAGCACTTTAAAAATAAAATAAAGTAATTTTTCACTGTCAGCAATCTATAGCCCCACGAGGATTTACTTATCTTTAAATTTTCCCTTCTTTATATATGCTGTTATCTAACACATTGATTTCTGTTCACAAAGATTAGGAACATTTTTTAGATTACGGGAATTCCCATGAAATTGTATATCTTAACAGATGCTGATCTGTGAGCATTGATAACATTGTGGTGTAAAGAAAATTAATATTACCTCTCTTTATTAAAAAGATGGTACTAGGGGGTGTGGGGACAATGCGGGGACAAGGACACATATGTAATACCTTAATCAATAAAGAAAAAAAATAAAAAGATGGTACTAAATGTAGTTACTTACTTAAACTAAGGGAATGCTTATCTTTTAGTTACCTCTAAGTTAAGTAGCTATCTACTATATTTGCTGGAAGCTTCCATTGCTCAACTTGATAATTTTATGAATTATACTTTTATTTTTACTAATATTTCATCTTCCAGTATCATATTAGTAATCTAATTTGCAATCTAGTTTTGGCTCCTTTTTTCTCTTTAGTATTTTGATTATTTTGCTTTATTTGATTTGTTATGGTAGGTACCTAGCTAGTTAAGAGATTTAGCATCCTATATAATAAAATGCTAATATGCAAATCAACAAAGTGGCGGAACATCTGGTCACTATGACATGCACTGACCACCAGGGGGCAGATGCTCAATGCAGGAGCTGCCCCCTGGTGGTCAGTGCACTACCACAGGGGGAGTGCCGCTCAGCCAGAAGCCCTGAGCTTGGCTCACGGCTGGTGAGCACAGTGGCGGTGACGGGAGCCTCTCCCACCTCTGTGACAGTGCTAGGATATTTGGCAGCGCTAAGGATGTAGGATGTCTGACTGACAGCTGAGGCCCACTCCCCCAGGGCAGTGGACCTCAGCCGTCAGTCAGACATCCCCTGAGAGCTCCAAGACTGCGAGAGGGCACAGGCTGGGCTGAGGGACAACCCTTCCCTCCTGCACGAATTTCGTGCATCAGGCCTCTAGTCTGAATATAATGTATAAGTTCTATGTGTTTAGGCACAATTAAACATTTCTTTTGACTGTCAAGATTTGCAGAGGTTCTGTTAAAGTATATGTTGTTTTATCCCCCTTATGCTCTCATTTCACTAATTTTGGAAAAAACAAGTATATTCCTGAAACATATATATTTGAGGTGTTCTCATAGTGTACTTTCCTGTGCATAAAACTAAAGGGATTAACTTGTGACTGCTGATTTCTTTATCTTTGGCCAGCCCATTTTTTAAGGCACCTGAGCATGTATTCTATGCTAAGTTCTTAGGGTTTCTTGGGAGCCCATTGTCTTCTTGTGTAATTTGTTTCCTTATTTTTTCTTAAATTCCTTACCATAGCACATCTTAAAAAAGAAAGCTTTTAGATGAAAGGCAAGAACTCTTATTATTTTAATGACAGTCATTGCAGATAGTGCAAAGATGAAAGTTCTGGAATTGTGCCTCGATTGTGTGTGATCTCAGAAATTTCTCACAGATGTTGATGCTTGGAAATAGTCACTACTTGTAGTTAGCATTCAACATGAGTGAACATTTCTTTTTCATATGGATATTTTCTTAAAAAATCAAAGCAATAGTCTGTGTTTGAAAACCTGAGTAGTTGTTCTATTGAATATATTACTATTTTATGTCCTACATTTCATTTTATAATTATCTTCCTGAAATTTTCTTAAGTGCTTGATGATAAAGCCTAATTATAGTTTAAGACAAACAAAAAATGAGAGAACTCAAAAGCACAAAGGTTCTTTGCATTTTGAGTATTATCTTCTGCAGTTTGTATTGTAACCCTTGATTATAAAATAAAGCACTAACAGAACTGCAGCCAGGCCTGGTGCCATGTGTGCAACCTTGGAAACTAGGGTCCCAGTACTACCCTACCTTAAAAAAAAAATAGTGTACTAGTACATATGTAGGGCCTCTTCTTCAGTAAATCCTGTGGTCATTGATATCCATGATGTTCTGCTGGGAATTGAGCATGTTTCTGAGCAACTGTGTATCTGAATAGTAGCACTTGAGGAGAGAATGTTTAATTATACTTTTGGTAAAAAGTTGCCTCAGATAACTCATTAAAACCCCCCATATAATTTAGAAATAGTTCTTATGTCACTTCTTTTTTCAAAAATAGTTATATTAAACACTTTTTATGTTGACAGTTTTCAAACCCATAAAAAAATTGGAGGATGAACTTTATACCTTTCACCTATATTCATAGCTATTAACATCTTGCCACATCTGCATGTTCATCCCCACCACCAAAGTTTAAGAATTTGACCCAAATTATTTTATTTTGCCAAATTATCTGAAAGTAGGCTGCAGACCTCATGACACTTCATTCTTTAATACTTCAGCATGTATTTCTCAAGAATAAGGGCAGCCTTTTACTACTCACATCTCCATTATATTTCCTAAAAGCATCAGTACTAATTTAGTGAGATTACTGACATATGGTCCATAGTTCAAGTTTCCTCAGTTATCCCCAAGATGTCCTTTAAACTCTGTTTTTCATTCAGGGTCCAATTAAAGTTCACACATTGTATTTGGTTATTGTTTCTCTTTAGTCTCCCCCAATCTAGAAAAATCCTACTGTCTTTGTTGTTTTTTATGACATTGAAATGTTTGTAGTCTAAGCCAGTTGTCTGCAGGATCACCCACATTCTGGATTCATTTAATTCTTAATAATTAGATTCAAGCCAAACATTTCCAGGAAGAACACAGTGATATTTTGTAATCTTGCATTGCATCACATCAGGAGGCACACAATGTCAGGCTGTCCTGATAATGACCGCCTGGTGAGAGTGGCAACCGCTAGGTCTTTATAGTTCCCCCTTTCAAACAAATGCTAATCTTTGGTGTGAGACCCTGGGAACATTTAAATATCTTGTTTCCTCAAAACATTTCACCAATGGTTTTAGCATCCTTTAGGATGTGCAATGATAATTTTTTTTGGTTACATTGATAATTTTTCTTACGTTATTAAGTAAGTGTTATTCTATCAAGATGACACTTTCCTCATACTCCCTTTCTCTCCTTTTTCATTGGGTATTATAGATAAATGGATTTTAAAAGATTCAGTGTGTTATAATTCATGACTCATTCCTATTGATTCTGGTTTATTGAAGTATAACATATACAGAAGAGTGCATAGATCATAGCATGCCATATAATGAATGACTGGTATCACAAAGTGATCAGTCCTGTGTGTATAATCATTGTTCACTTCATACATGGAAAGTACATCGTAGGTATTTTGTGTCTGATTTACATCACTGAGCATGTTTTTTTGGTCAGATTTATCCATGTTTTGCATTTAGTCACTTAAATTGCTGTGTAGTATCCAATGTATGAATCTACCACAGTTTATTTATTCATTTTCCTTTGGATGGATATCTAGTTTGTTTTAAGTTTTTCACTATTTTAAGCAAAGCTACAATGAATGCTCCTGTGTTTGTCTTTTGTGATCAGTAGTTGGTTATAGCATTGCCTGTAGGAGAAGATTTTGGCAGTATTAACTTGTGATTTCTTTTTCTTTTTTTAAAAAATATATTTTATTGATTTTTTACAGAGAGGAAGGGAGAGGGATAGAGAGTTAGAAACATCGATGAGAGAGAAACATCAATCAGCTGCCTCCTGCACACCTCCCACTGGGGATGTGCCCGCAACCAACGTACATGCCCTTGACCGGAATCGAACCCGGGACCCTTCAGTCCACAGGCCGACGCTCTATCCACTGAGCCAAACCGGTTAGGGCTAACTTGTGATTTCTTTACCCAGACAAATCCAGGAGTACTATTTTCAGATGCTAGAATACTCTCTGAGCCTCTCTTAAAATATTAAGGGGCATAGTTTTGAATTTTACTGATATAAATGTTAATATGTTATATATTAATATATTGTTATAATCAGTATATTACTATAACATAATATATTATGCTTAATATATTACATATTAGTTAAATATAATATATTCATATGATACCAGATCTGCATGCCACTTATTATCAAAGCAACCCCTGTTCACATAATTCAAAAAGGGAATACTGTTTAGTCTGGCTACTTGGAAAATACAAATTTTCATGTTTCATTGGATATTAAAATGTTTATCAACTCCTATGTAAATGGAGTATAACCACATATAAAATCATCTTTTGGATTATGGAATTTTATTAAGCAGGTGTACCCTTTGTTATATCTGTGACTTTAGGAGACCTTACAAATTTTGTACCTCATATAACTAAATGAAGAGGAATTGTTTATTTAAACACACACATGCATGAATAGTTGGAACTCACTTATTGTAAATTGTGGGGCTTGTAGTAATAATGTTTACATAGATATGTATAGCACTGCTGTAGACTAAAGTTTAAAACCATGTTACAAGCTTTTCTGTGTAAGGAAGAAGCAGGGAAGGCAAAGGTACTAAAGCAAAAAGAAACTTCTGTTTTTATCTTTATATATGTTCACTGATTTTCACATTTATATTTTTCCCCCCAGTAGTGGCTACGGAGGAAGTAGTTACTGCAGAATCAGTGGATGGTGCAATTCAGCAAGTAGTTAGTTCAGGGGGTCAGCAAGTCATCACAATAGTAACAGATGGAATCCAGCTTGGAAATTTGCACTCCATTCCAACCAGTGGAATAGGCCAGCCCATCATTGTGACCATGCCAGATGGACAGCAAGGTGAGTAGTAGGCATTTCCATAAAGTTGCTGTTTATTCTCAATTTGCCTTAAGTTATGTTTTTGTAACCCTTTGCAACAGATTTAGTTGCCTCACTTTATTTGCTTAGGCTAATATTAAAGTTAGCTTGCTTTTTCTGAGTATATACCAGGTGGAAAGAAGAATTGGCCCTAAAGTATTCTGCTTGGAAATGAGCTTAAATAAATAATTCAAAATCAGCATTGGATGATAATTTCTTAGGCCATTTAATGCAATTCAGATATCATGTGATCTTTTAAAAATACCATGTAAGAAAACCCTACTTAAAAAAAAGTTGGACTTAAGACTTGTAATAGCTATGTGGTAGCAACTTTTAGCAGCTTTCTTGACAGTTTTTCCATTTTTTTCCCTCTCGGAAACCACAGAGAGCAATAAGATGGATGAAGTAGAAGCCCCAACTATGTTTTCAGTGAATCTAAAAGGTTGAGAAAACCACAGAATTCCATATTTTAAGTGCTTCAAAAACATCTAAGAACATTATAGTCAGGGCAAGAGAACTCTCATGAAAACCTACAATGTTGCATCAAGAAAAGAAAAGGTTTGAGCTCAGAAATCAGCAATAAGTACACACTCCCAGCAAGACAGGGCCCAGACTGAATAGGAAGTGCAGTGCAGCAAGCAGAGCTAAGATAGATAGAATTGGACGTGAATAGTGGAGGAAGCAGAAAGAGAAGGTGCAGAAAGTTCCTAGCTTAGAAAGCATCACCCTGCACCCAGTCCCCGAAAAAAAAGTATATGCACACACATACTTTTAGAAAATGAGTAGGATTGCAGAGACCATGCCTCTTCACAGCCAGTGAAGGAATTACAGAAGGGAAAGGCTGGAGGTAGAAATTCTTGTAAACTGCATTTGGTTTAGCGGTAGAGGAGGTATGACACTTAGGAAAGAGTTTGTCACTGTAGCAGGACAGGAGCAGACCTTGACCTGTGAAGCCTGAGAGGTCTTTCTCCTGTTCAGCAGAAATCACCTGCTGATAGCTGGTCTAAGAGCTCATCAGGCCTAGGTGCTTTCGCAAAGCCTTAAAGGACGAATCCAATTATACAGAAAAGAAGAAAGCTTTCAAAGTATTTGTATTAAGCAGATACAACTTTGTTTCCCAAACCTAACATTTATACAGACAAATCTCGCTGATGAACAAATGGAAAGAAACTCATAGTTTCAGATTGGAAGACTCATTATCAAGAAGCTCTCAATTTTTCCTGACTTGATTTGTAAGTGTAGTGTGATATTTTAAAAAGACTCTATTAATTTGCTAGGGCTGTTATAACAAAATACTACACACTGGGTGACTTGAACAACAGCTTTTTATCTTCTCACAGTGCTGGACGTTTGAAATCCTAGGTAAAGGTGTTGGCAGTTTTAGTTTCTTCTGAGACCTCTCTCTGTGGCTTGCAGGTGGCTGCCTTCTTGCTGTGTTCCCACAGGGTTGTCCCTCATATGTGTGTATTGTCTGTGTCCTGGTCATCTCTTCATATAAGGACACCAGTCATATTGGATTAGGACCCTCCCAAATGACCCTATTTTTGACCTTATTCACCTCTTTGAAGTCCTTATCTCCAAATACAGTCACATTCTGAAGTGCTGGGGGTAAGGACTTAAACATTTGAACTTTGAGGGGACACAGTTCAGCCCATAACAAAAACCAGAGGTCTCTTTCTGCAAGTAGCTAAACAGATTCTAAGTTTATACTGATAGGGGAGGAGGGAAGAAGAAAAAGAAAGAAAACTCTGGAAAAGAAGAACAATAAGAGGAACCTACTGAATATTAAAATAAACTTTTAAAGACTCCATAATTTTAAAATGTGTAACTGACATATGAACATATATACTATGTAGACAGTTCAATGAAACAAATACAAGGTTCTCAGATTCTTGAGTTAATTTGTAAGTGTAACAATATAATATGAGTTAAAAGAAATAAAACTTTAATTCTTATTATTTCTAATGTTTTCAATTACATTACACTAAATATTAGTTTTACTTTTTTCATTTGTGTTTACATTTATAAATGACAGGTTTTAATGTTTTGACAAAACAAAACATTAAAGGCTTTGGAACAATTGTAATTTTCCCCATTGTTTTGCATGGCTTCAGTATGCACAGCCATTTCTATAGTCCCGTACTGCTAAGGTACTGTTAAGTAAAGCAAGGACGGTCTCTCTCTGTATAATTTACATTCATATGAAGAGATACTAAAAATTGGGACAAAGTCCAACAACCCAGTAGAGAAACAAGCAAAGTGTATAAACAGACAACATTCATAATGGCGTATCCACACATTATTATGTAACTAAATAAAAGAAAGCTCTTATGTACTGACTAGGGGCCCATTGCATGGATTCGTGCACCGGTGGGGTCCCTCAGCCTGGCGTGTGCCCTCTCGCAATCTGGGACCCCTCAGGGGATGTTGGATTGCCGGTGTCCCCCAAGGGTTGTAGTAGTTCGCAAAGTGGTAGGTGGCCGGGGCACCACTTCATTTGTTTGTAATGAAGTCTGTCACTCCTGCTCATCCCGGCCCTGCTGTGCCTGCTGTTGCCGCTGCCGCTCAGTAGCACTGCGCCAGCTGGTAGCACTGCGTCTGGCGCCCGATGGTCAGATGAGCGGCGCTCCTGCTGTGGGGGTGCACTCACCATCAGGGGGCAGCTCCTGCGTTGAGCGTCTGCCCCCTGGTGGTCAGTGCGCATCATAGCTACCGGCCAGTTTTCCAGTTGACCAGTCACTTTGGCTTTTATATATACAGATGAAAGACAACTTATATATGTGCAGTGAAAAAAAGCAACTGCAGAATGATATATCTGTTGTGTATATATTTGACTGTTTTATATGTATGATACCTTTTGTGTAACAAAAAAAGAATGTATGTTCATGTTTGTTTTTACATAAATTAACAAGAATAGTACATGAGAAACCAATAAAAGTGATTTTCTGTTTTACGAGTGGAGTGAGAGCTCTCAAAATATGCTTGGTAAATATTGTTTTGAGTTTGAGTCATGTGAATGAACATATTATATATAAAAAATTTTTTGCCGTAACCGGTTTGGCTCAGTGGATAGAGCGTTGGCCTGTGGACTGAAGAGGCCCAGGTTCAATTCTGGTCAAGGGTATGTACCTTGGTTGCGGGCACATCCCCAGTAGGGGGTGTGCAGGAGGCAGCTGATCAATGTTTCTCTCTCATCGATGTTTCTAGCTCTCTAGCCCTCTCCCTTCCTCTCTGAAAAAATCAATAAAAATATATTTAAAAAAAAATTTTTTTAATCCTCACTCGAGGATGTTTTTCCATTGAATTTTAGAGAGAGTGGAAGAGAGAGGGAAAGATAGAGAAATATTGATGAGAGAAACATATTGATTGGTTGCCTCCTGCACACTTCATGACCAAGGCCCGGCTGGGGAGGAGCCTGCAACCGAAGTACGTGCCCGTGACTGGAATCAAACCTGTGACCCTTTGGTCTGCAGGCCGACACTATCCACTGAGCCAAACTAGCTGATGCTTATATATAAAACTTTAAAAAAATAAGTAGGTGCTTAAACAAGGAGAGATTTGCAGTAAAAAAGCAAGAAGATGAGGACAAATATGGACATCCTCAAAAAGTAAATCAGTGGTTTGAAATTGTTTTAGAATATAATTTATTTTAGATGAGTTGCATCAATAATGTTGACTAGTTTTATTTCAACTAAACCTATCTGAAAATGAAGTAACATATATATTTTTTCATTTTAGTATTAACAGTACCAGCAACGGACATTGCTGAAGAAACTGTTATAAGTGAAGAACCACCAGCTAAGAGACAATGTATCGAAATAATTGAAAACCGGGTGGAATCTGCAGAAATAGAAGTAAGGAGTCTTTTACCCGGTGTGTTTTGCTGCAGTCATCCAAAATAAATTCAATTTGCTTTTTTTTTTGGTCTTTTATATTTATTACTGACAGTGTTGTTTTGATACGGAAAGTATATAGTATTATTTTGTTTAATTTTTGCTTTATACATATAGCAAGCCCTCAATAAATAAATATTGAATGAATGAATGAATGAGTGAAGAATTTGTTTGTAATGAAGTCTGTCATCCTGGTAACATTGGAATGTCTTTGGTTCTTGCACGCCATCCTTCATTTTCCATTAAATTTACATACATCATTCTCACAAGTCACTAAAAAAATATCACTGTATATTGACTAAAATTGTTTTCTCTTTCAAAAGCGAAGTGCAAATGCCTATTTAGGCTGGGGGGATCCTCATAAAGAAGGTTGATACTTGTCAACTGGGTTTATTATAAAGCCATGGATAACTGCTTATTTTACTTAATAAGTCCTTTAGGGAAATTAAATTTAGACTAGCTCTTGACAGGATTCAACTTTTTTTACCCTCTCCCAAACTAGATTATAAATGCAAACCATTGTGTAAGTATAACTAATCCTTAGTTACCTTGCAGATTTTTTTTCTCACATGACTGTAGATAAAATTATGTCCCCTAAATTGGATATTAGCTTATATCAAATGACAATACATTTATTCAAAAAGTTATTTTGGAGTTTTTATGAGAATTTAAAAAATTACATACTCATTATACACAAATTCATAATTTCTGATATATGTGAATAGTAAATGTTGGTGAATATTTAAGGTTCTTTGTAATAGAAAAGAGAGGATTTGAGAAAAAAAAAGTCACTAGAAGGCAACATAATCCTGATTGAGGACAATTAGAAAATATCCTTTGCCCAAATTCATTTAAATGTAAGACTGGTATATTGGCCACAATCACAAAGAATTTTTGCGGTGAAAATATTATCTGGTTCATCTTGTAACCAGAATATTTGGCAAAATTATCTCTTTAGTTATTGAGGGTGAGCTGTTTTATTTCTTCAAAATTTAAAGTGATATTCAGTACATTGAAGTTCTTACAAACTAGCAGTTTATTCCATTGAATAGTATCATATACTTATTATTTAGTAATCTTTTAAATATCTTTTTCTGATATGTCAGATGATCTTTTCTGGCACATAAGGTAAAAAATATATACAGGTGTCTCCCTAAAATGTACATACTTTGAATAATTATAAAGGCAGTATTTATTAAAATACATTTCATTTTCAAAATGTAATATGAATCAGATGTTAAAGTGTATATACAATTTTGGGGACACCCTGTATATGTATATGTATGTATATGTATATATATATGTATATATGTGTGTGTATATATATATATATATATGTATATTTTAAAGAGTGATTTATTTATTTTTTATTTAAAGAATAGTTTATTAATTTTTAGAGAGAGAGGAAGGGAGAGGGAGAGAGAAATTTTGATGTGAGAGTGCAACATTGATCGGATACCTCCTGCATACCCCCACCAGGGATTGAGCTCGCAACCCAGGCATGTGCTCTTGACCGGGAATGGAACCGGCAACCTCCTGGTGCACCAGATGATGCCCAACCAACTGAACCACACTGGCCAGGGCAAGGTGAAAAATATTTTGTCATGTACTTTGCTTTAACTATTTAATAAAAATTATCTTAAAAGTTCTTGAAATTATAAAAAAATCTACACCTGAGGATATGTTTATTGATTTTAGAGAGAGGAAGGGGGAGGGGGGGATAGAGACAGGGAGAGGGAGAGAGAGAGCATTGATGTGTGAGAGAAACATTGATTGGTTGCCTCCCATATGGGCCCCAATCCCGACTGGGGACCAAACCTGCAACCTAGGTGTGCCCTGGTCGGGAATCAAACCCTCACCCTTTTGGTGTACGGGACGACACTCCAACCAACTAAGCCACCTGGCCAGGGCATTACTTGAAATTTTATTAAACATAAACTTATTGAATTCAATCAATTATATTTTTAAATCATTGAATGTGCATCCTGTAGCTTTATTTATCTAATGTGAGAATTGCTGTTTTCTTAAAGTTCCACCTGATTCCTCTCTTACAATCTTTCAGAGACCAAGAGGAAATAATGGTAAATAACAGGAAAGTATGACTTGAGATATGTAAATTATCTAGAACCATGGAGATACACCTTCAGGGGATAGAGTTTTAACTTGGTATAAAGAAGAGTATTTGTTTCGTTTTTAGTAAGTAGAGCTTTCTGGTGGTGGAAATCTTATTCTCCATCCACAGAAATGTTCAAGCCAAGGTTGCATGATGTCTTAGAACTATTATAGAAAGACCTTGAAGGATGCAGTAAGTTTAGATGGTAGAGGTGGGCTGGAGTATAGAATGAGGAGACCTCTAGTGTTTTCATCAGATCAGGTAATTATTTCCGTATAACACATGAAGTAGTTTTTTGAAGTTATTTTCTTAGATAATCAATAGAATTGTCTTGGGACAGATTTTTTTTTAATACGCCTCTCTGAGTGACAGTTTGGCCATTCTCACAAAAGTCTCTCTAAGGCAGTGGTCTCACCTGGGGCAATTTTGATGCCAGGGGACATTTGACAATGTCTGGAGACGTTTTGGGTTATCACAATTAGGGACATAGCATTGATATTTGGGTAGAAACCAGGGGGATGCTGCTAAACATCCTACAATGATGCACAGAACAGAGAAACTGCTGTAAAGGAATTAAATTAACTCGTTATATAGAGTCTAACATGTTTGGGTTTCTCTTTGTGTATCCACAACTACCAGAGTGACTGTCTAAAGAAAGTGTTAATATATACAGGCTACCCCTCCTAAATATATACACTTTAGCAGCTGATAGCTCAATTTTGAAAATGAAATGTATTTCAATAAACACTGCCTTTATAATTATTCAAAGTGTGTATATACCTTTTTTGGGGACACCCTATATTTACAATTTCCAAGTTAACATTGGAGAGATTTATCAATAATCTCCAGAAAAATTAGTTTAAATTATAGAAAGTTTATTGTAAATGTGGCTTTCACATCTGCATTATAGCAATATAGGAAATAAAATAGATTTATTTTTTAGAGGAAGGTATGAATAAAACTAAATTGTAATAATGTATATCATTTTATCATGCCTTGATATTACTGTACAGTATATTTTTGGAAGAAGTGTGCTGTTTTTGGATTTCTTTCATAAATAAACATTAGCCTAATCTGAATTGAAGTTCAAACTTAATTGTACATGTGGGAGGAAGGAGATGTAATTAGTACATTAGGAGTAACAGATTTTTTCCTATTATTAATTATGTGGGTTCAGGAAATACCTTTACCTGTTTTTTTGCTGTGGAGATTAAAGATGAATGTTTATTAGCAAGTTTTGTTTATTTTTAATGAATAATTTATATCTTTTAACCAGTGATAAATTGGGATCCTTAGTGTTCTTTAAAAAATTAATTTCTATAAACTTTATAAAATGTTTCATTTGATACAATTTTTAAAATTTGTTTTCCTTTTATTAATGATGAACCTTTTGATCTTCCAAAGTTTAAAATTTTTTATAGTCATATCCCTTTTATTTGTTAAAAAATATTTTTATTGATTTCAGAGAGAAAGGGAGAGTGAGAGAGAGAACCATCAATGATGAGAGAGAATCATTGATTAGCTGCCTCCTGCACACCCCTCACTGGGGATCGAGCTCGAAACCCTGGGCATGTACTTTGACCGGGAATCTAACCGTGACCTCCTGGTTCATAGGTTGACGCTCAGTCACTGAGCCACTGTGGTTGGGCAGTCATATCCCTTTTTGATAATTTTTTTTTCTAGCGCTGGAGTAGTCAAAAATTTTTTGTAAAGGGCCAGTTAGCAAATAATTTCGGCTTTCTAGGCCATATAGTCTGTGTTTCGCTACTTAGTTCTGTCATTGTGGCAGGTTAGCAACACAGACAATTTGGAAATGAGTAGGTATGGCTGTATTTCAATAAAACTTTATTTATAAAACTAGGTTCATATTTGGCTTATGGCAGTTAGAAAATTGATGTTTACACACAAACAAACGGACAGCTCACACACCCTGTCCAGTTTCCATGTTAAAAAACAAAACTAAACAAAACATTTAGTAATTTAAGAATATGGGTCTGGACTCAGATTTAGATTTAAATTATACTCTATAATTTTCTGATTGTGTGATATTGGTCAAGTTAATTTAACCTTTGAAGGCTTGGCTTCCCCATCAATAAAAAGGGGAAAATAATAGCACCTCCGTTATCAGATTGTATGAGGTTTAAAGGAGGGTACATGTGAAGGACTAGTACAATGGTAGGCATATAGTAAGTGCTCAGTAAAAGATAATTGCTACTAGCTGAAGCAGAATTCAAGAATCTTGTTTGAAAATGAAAAAGCAAACTCAGGTCTTTCCTTGCTCTGTTGTCCCATTGCCTAATGCAGTAGTAATATATTGCTTTTGTTTGGAGTTGTGTAAGACAAATATTTTCTTTTATTGCTACCAAATCTTATCAGAATTTATTTTTTTGGAATTTTTCAATGTTAGTCTGTTAAAGGAAAAATACTTTAGTATTAATATTAGTACAATTATTTAATACTAATAATATTAGTATGTTTATTGAAAAATGTCAGAATTCTTTTTATTGTGGTTTTATTGCAAAAGGTCAAAGCCTAATGGCTTTTCTATTAAATATAATTGGCATTTCTATTTAAATATAAATCTAAAATGTGAGTCTGTTGCACTATTTATATGCAAAACAACCAAATTACTGTTTGCATTTAGAAAGTATCTTACATGTAAATATGTTCAGTAAATGAAAAAATGAATTTGGAAACAGGATCTTTTGAGTAAAATAAGAAATAATATTTTCCACTTTTTAGAGATTTTTATTTTTTTGCAAAGTGAGATGGCAAAAAGATTCTTTCCCCAAATACCTATATTTCTGAGAAGTAAAAAATGAAAACACAAACTTTAATGTTAACTATGCTTTTAACTTATATTAAGATATATTCTAGTTGAAATGAAAATATAAAATAAGGAAAATAGGATTAAACTGTATTCACTGTTAGACTATTTATCTCAGTTTGCTTTTATCCTTTGAAATAATTGTGACTCCCTTGCTGTTTCTAAATGTTAATAAATAGCTACCAGGAAAAGATACCTTAGAGTATCTGTTTTAATTTTTCCTACCAAATCAGGGCAAATTTCTTTTATCCATATTCAAAACTTTGGCTACCAAAGGATCTTATTTCTTAACACAAGTGAAATTTGATAACACGTACCAATAGCTGTAAGTGTTCCTGCTAGCTGGTGAGGGTCTAGCTCCTGGGGAAGCAGCCCCATCTCCCCTTTCCATTGTTCACTGCCAGGGGACTGGCGTTGATTGCTTACATGAGCCTCATCTTTTGGGTGTTCTTTCTGTCTTGTTCCTACTCTGTTATCTTGCCTGGGATAAGGAGTGGGTAAGAAAAGGGTAGCAAAGTAGGGCTTGGGAATTTCTTAAATTGCAGATGAAGAGCACATATTTTTTCTACTTGTACATTTTGTGTAATTGGAAGATTTGAATGCTACTTTTGTAGTCAACCACTCCCACATTTGATGAACCCATGGGAAAAATAAATGTTAGATGTAGCTTTATTCCCAGTGTAGGGAAGGGAATGGGATTTACAGGAAGGCAGAAGTAGTAAATATGCTCCCCCTGTGGACCATGAGAATAATGAAGAAGAGGGAATTTTTGGTTTCACAATGGGTAAGGGTCAAGAAGGCAGTGGATGAGACTCTCACACTGCCCCTTTCCCCAGCAAGATGCTGACCCCTTGCCTTCAGTTTCTTCTGGTCAAGTGTCTTGTCCAGTGTGAGTGTGGCCTTTCTTATGATTAATAGTCTTACTCTCAGCCCCCACCACACTAGTAGATCCTGGGCCTCTGTAAGGTGTTTGAGCTTGGGGGTGTGCAGGGTGAGCTTTTGTTCTTGTGCTTACTAGAGGTATGGGAAAAGAACCCGTGAAATGTTTTCCCTTGGGCAGCTGAATAGGGCCAGAATGAGGAGGAGGACCAGATTTGTTTCAACTCTCAATTTATTGAGAAATTCAGTACATATATTTTACACCTGAATAATTCACTAGTCACAATAGAGAAATTAGTACTTTATTGATTTGTAAAATGATATAATTTAGGAAACACTAATTTAGACCAACACTCTTCATTTTAGAGATGAGGAATCTTGCTCGCTATCATTGAGAAAGATAGTTTTATAAGCAGTAATATTAGAATCTCACAAACCTGACTCGTATCCATGTTACCATGAAAAAGCCACATCATCTCTGAGCATCATTTTCCTCATCTGTAAAATGGGCATAATATCTGTCTTAGAGGCTTGTCCTTGGAAACCACCTTGTTTTGTCATATAATGAGTGCTTAATAAATACTGTTTTTAAGTATTATCTTTATTTTTTTACTTTTATTTCTTAAGTATTATCTTTAAATAAAAATGCAGATAAAGATATGGAGAGCTATGATGGTATATTTCCGTCTTAAAGTTCTTCACCAGTTTTTGTAGTACATATGAGAGTACAGGTACCTATTTGGGTTCATTATGTTAGTCTTATATCTAATTAGGGGATAATTTCCTTGAGATAAAAAAAACAACAAACCTGCAATCTGTATCTCACAGTGTGGAACACAAAATTGGGGGCTTTAATTATTAGTGAATTGGTTGAAAAGGCAACTTGTCTAGGAAATATCAATAGGTAACTATTTTTAGCTACTATTTTTTTGTTAAAGGATCCATGCTTGTAGATGTTAATAATGTATTTGTGCAAAAAATTGAAAAAAACAACTTTTTGTTTGCTTAATTAGGAGAGAGAAGCTCTTCAGAAACAGCTGGATGAAGCAAACCGAGAAGCCCAAAAATATCGACAGCAGCTTCTAAAGAAAGAACAGGAAGCAGAAGCCTACAGACAGAAATTAGAAGCTATGACTCGTCTTCAGACTAATAAAGAAGCTGTTTAGTTGAAATGAACATGTAGTTTGAGTTACTTTTGGTCAAGAAAGAATACAATCTTGAACTGTACACAGTAAGGTGCAGTCATGGGAAGACAGGATACTAGAAGAGACTACAGATTGATAATTGGACTAAAGCCATGTGGTCTGAATCCTTGTAACATAAAACTTTTGAAGTTGTCAAATGTATTTAAAACTGAATTCTGTAAATAGTTTTTGTTTTTTTTACAGTTCTAAATGAGTTGATAAAGATTGTTGAAGAGATCCAAAAACACAATAAGCCACTGTTTTTGTGAATTCTTTTTGATTTTAGTACGAACGAACCTTAATTTCTCAGAAACAGAACAGTTTTAAGGGTGATCGTTGATTAGACCAAATGTGTCATAATTATGTGGTGGACTGATACTGGAATTGCTCCTGTACGTTAAAGCTTCTGTATGAAGAGAAGATTTCTCCCAGGAAATGTTTGTACAGCTTTAAGTTGTCTCAGATTCTCTGAAAACATTTTTTAGAAAACAAATTTTTATATTTGTTCAACTTCAGCTATACCCAAGTAGATTTACATGTATATGAAGCAAATATTTTTTAAACTTTGTGTTTGTACATATCCTGCATGTTTTATAATTTCAAAATGTATCACTTGCATAGGTATTTTCCCCACAAAGATAATGAAAGTTATTTGGGGAAAAAACCCTCCTTTTATTCTGTAGGTCATCTTAACTAAGTAAACTAGCAGCTGGTTTTATTGGAATGATAGTGTTCTTGGAAGGAGCAGCTTACAAGATAACTTGAATTTGCAAACTACAAAATCTATGCTTTTTTGAAAATTTCATAGTGGGGACGTGAAACTGTATTCTGTGCCTTCCATCATGATTTCCACATGAAAGCACTTTAAGGCAGTATGTTTTAAGATAATGTTTTTGGAAAACTCAAAGCATATGGGTTTTTGAAATATTTCATGGACTCATTCCCCTCCCTCCCCCAGGAAATTATTCTTATGGAAAAAAATGCTTTTGTATGTAGAACAAGAACTTTTTGTACCGCAGTAATGCTATAGAGATGTCTACCATAACTTTTACTTTTCCCTGTGAAAGCTGTATGTCTGCTGCGACTGCTCTCATCACAATATTGTCGAATTCCACAATGTATGAACATTACACTCTGACATACTGTTTATTCTTTTTTTGTAAAATGTAACTTCATACAGTTTTTCTTGCTTTATTTCTTACATTAATGTTTTATTGCTTTATGAAAATGTTTAACCCTAAGGCCCTACTAGATGATCTATACTGTAAAAAGAAGCAATTACCCTTAAGAAACAATTACTCTGGCCTACTTTTCTATTTTACAATTAAATATCTTTTCCACATATATTCAGTGTAGACTTATATTTTGACCATATTTTGTTCACACATTAATATTTTTGTTCTGTGTATTAAAGCCATATTCTACCATATGAAAATACGTATTCTTTACACTGTCTTGAAAGTCCTTGAGGTAGCTCCTTGGGAATTTGTTAATTCTCTTACTGCAGTTATCAGTTCGGTAGGTAATATAGTAAAAAGATCTGTGAACTATCAGCTTGATAGTTGTTACTTAGAAACTGTTATAAAGGTTCTAGGACAAATTTAAAAACTAAGGAAGAGAAAAAAACATTTTTTTTCAGTTTTCCACTAAATTTGACATAAATTTTATTTTTTAAAAACATCTTTATTGTTGAAAGTATTACATATGGCCCTTTTTTCTCCTATTGACCCCTTATAGCCCACCCCTGCCCCCTGCCCCAGCCTCCACCACCCTATTGTCTGTGTCCACGGGTTATGCATATATGCATACAAGTTCTTTGGATCTCCTCCCACCCGTCGACCCTCCCCCACCTTCCCTCTGACATTCAACAGTTTGTTCCATGCTTCTGTGTCTCTGGATCTATTTTGTTTAACAGTTTATTTTTTTCATTAGATTCCACATATGAGTGAGATCATGTGATACTTGTCTTTCTCTGACTGGCTTATTTTGCTTAGCATAATAGTCTCCAGGTCCATCCAATGCTGTCTCAAAGACTAAGAGATCCTTTTTCACTACTGCATAGTATTCCATGGTGTACAGGTACCACAGCTTTTTTATCTACTCATTTACTGATGGGCACTTGAGCTGTTTCCAGATCTTAGCTATTGTAAATTGTGCTGCTATGAACAAAGGGGTGCACACATTCTTTCTGATTGGTGTTTCAGATTTCTTAGAATATATTCCTAGAAGTGGGATCACTGGGTCAAATGGTAATTCCATATTTAATTTTTTGAGGAAATTCCATACTGTTTTTCATAATGACTGCACCAGTCTGCACTCCCACCCGCAATGTACTAGTGTTCCCTCTTCTCCACATCCTTGCCAGCACTTGTCATTTGTTGATTTGTTGATAGTAGCCATTCTGACAGGTGTGAGATGGTACCTCATTGTTTTGGTTTTCATCTCTGATGATTAGTGACTTGGAGCATTTTTTCATATGTCTCTTGGCCATTTGTCCCTTTTGGAGAAGTGTCTATTTAGGTCCTTTACCCCATTTTTTAATTAGATTGTTTGTCTTCCTTTTGTTAGGTTGTATGAGTTCCTTATATAATTTAGATATTAACCTTTTATCAGATGTATCATTGCCATACAGTGGGCTCCCATACAATGGGCTCCCTTTTTATTTTGTTGATGGTTTCTTTTGCTGTGCAGAAGCTTTTTATTTTGATGTAGTCCCATTTGTTTATTTTCTCCTTTGTTTCCTTTGCCCTATGAGGTTATCTGTAAACATATTGCTACAAGAGATGTCTGTGATTTTGCTGCCTATGGTTTCTTCTAGGATTTTTATGGTTTCACAACTTACATTTAAGTTCTTTATCCATTTTGAGTTTATTTTTGTGTATGGTGTAAGTTTTTGGTCTAGTTTCTTTCTTTCTTTTTTTTTTTTTTTTTGGCATGTATCTGTCCAATTTTCCCAACACCATTTACTGAAGAGACTGTCTTGACTCCATTGTATGCTTTTGCCTCCTTTTCAATTATCAATTGAGTGTAGTGGCTTGGGTCAATTTCTGAGGTCTCTGTTCTGTTTCATTGATCTATATGTCTGTTCTATACCAGTATCAGGCTGTTTTGATTACATTGGCTTTGTAGTATAACTTGATATCTGGTATTGTGATCCCTCCAACTTTGTTCTTTCTCAAGATTGCTGCAGCTATTCGGGATATTTTTGGTTCCATATAAATTTTTGGAGTATTTTTTCTAGATCTGTGAACTATGCCATTGGTCATTTAATAGGGATTGCATTGAATCTATAGATTGCTTTGGGTAGTATGGATATTTTAATGATGTTAATTCTACCAATTCATGAACACAGTATATTCTTCCACTTGTTTATATCTTCCTCTACCTCTTTTTTCAACGTCCTATAGTTTTCTGACTATAGGTCTTTTACCTCCTTAGTTAAGTTTACTCCTAGGTATCTTTTTTTTTTTTTCCAATGAAATATTGACAAGTTCTTTATGGTATTTATTTTCATTTTTTTGTTAATTCTCACCTGAGGATATTTTCCCATAGATTTTTATTTTTTATTTTTAAAGGGCATTTTTAGAAAGCATCCTATATAATAAAAGCGTAATATGCTAAGTGTCCGACTGATTGGTCGACCAGACGCTATGACACACACTGACCACCAGGAGGCATACACTCTGGTAGGTTAGCTTGCTGCTGGGGTCTGGCCAATTGGGACTGGGCAAGAGGGCTGGACACGCCATGGAGCCCTCCCGCGGTCCCTCTCCGGCCGGCCTGCCCCCATGGCCCTGATCGGAACTGGGCAAGATGGCCCAATCAGCCCAATCGTGGGCCAGGCCGAGGGACCCCACCCGTGCACTTATTGTTATACAAAGAAGAAACATATACAGAATACACAAATTACCAGCGAGGTGGACCCTAGCCCTTCTCTCCACTCTGGGAAAACAGATCAGAAGAGAAACAATGATTCCATCTTGTTAATTGTTTCCATCTACACAGACAGTTTTTTTAAAGCAGCATTTCTACTCCTTTGCTGGTGCTTTTTTTTTCTTTTCTTTTTTTTCCCCCCCTCCAATGTGGGAATCAGGCTTTTCAGTCCAGCTTTGACTTTGCTTGCAATTTCTTGGTCAGAACTCTGGAGAAGGCTAGAAAGAATAATGGCACCTTGATTTACACTAGCCCAGGACTTCAGGTTCTTTATAACGACATGCTCTACAATGGTTTTTGCAAAATAACCATCTCTTCTGTTTTCTTTCATCTTTTATCTTGCTCTATTAACCACTTCAAAACAAGATGTCCTGCAGGATGTTCTGCAATGTGAAGCTCTCCATCCTTGCTTCCAGGGCACAGTTCTGCTGTTGCCAAGCTGGCGATGGCATTCATGGCAGGTTGAGTGTCTCCAATGGCAGCTCCCAGAATGCAAGACACCAACACACAGGCAGACTTATCTAGCACCATTTCTTGAGTGTGATCTTGCATTTAGCTTAACAAAGCTGGGGAGATGGATTCTAAGAGCTCTCGGCGATGGATCTCTGTTATCTTTTTTACTGTGTGCGTTTCCATCTCCTTTCTGCAGAACTTCAATGATTTCTCGTACTGTATATGCAGGATCTTGGGGGCTTAGTAGGACAACAGGACCTTCCTTCCATATTTGTCATTTAATATGTTAGACAAGGAACTAATAGTTTCAGATATGATTATCTGCTTCACAATCAAATGCTGCCAGTAAAACCAAATGGGAGTATTGGCCATTAGCCACTTTTCAACAGAAGTCTTCATTGTTTTCACAATCACTGTCCTGTCCTGAAGTCTTCATTGTTTTCACAATCACTGTCCTGTCCTTGTGTGTGCCATGCATGGCCACTCTGGCACCATCATGTGTGTGTGCCAGGTAAACCACCACTTCACAGATGGCTTCGTGAAATTCTGTCAGAAGGCTGAATGGGGCTTTGATGTTCAGAAGGCTGAATATCTGCTTTTTATTACCTGCTGCTGGCTCAATAGCCGAAGGCAACCCCTCAAATTTGATGATCTCTTTACCGTTTACTAAACATCACCTTTGATATGTCTGTTTGCATTCCTAAAGGGCAATTGTGTATTCTAGTAAATAAAAAGCAGATGGGTATGGAGATTCAGTGGAGCTTAGTTCCTTGAACTAAGTTCACAACTGGTTTCCCCATAATTTCCAAATTTATATTTCTTGTCTTGTGTATTAATCTGCATGCGGCCCTTTCGTTAGGTATTTGAACCCAGGCCACGCAGGCCGTGGCCTCACAGCTTCGATCATTTCTGATCTTAGCTTTGGGGGCGCATAGGTAAAAACGTCCAAGAATACTTTATGCACCAATGAGTGCTTAGTCACAGCTTCCTGTTGGGCCATTGGAGTTAGAATCTGTTTCATTTCATCCATGATAAGTTCTAGTGTTTCTGGCTGTTCCTCTAACACTGTCCAGAGTTGGGTGATCTGCTGACTTGTAAAGCTGAAATGTGTTCCCATAGGGCGCTCTGTCAACATGTTTCTCTGCTCTAAAATGGCTTTGTCATTGTACGGTATTCCACGACGGCTGACGGCTGAGGCTTCCGCGTGTCGGGGCATCTTCCTCACATGGCCTTTAAAACTTCCGATTATCTCCGCATTCTGCGGTTTACCCCCACACATGAGAAATTTCTTAACAATATTTCTGGAATATTTAGCTTTACGTAATTCAACCACGTCATCTTGCAGTCTTTCAAAAGCCTGTTTCCTCTGCTCTTTATTGCCAAACTGAATGTAACATTGCATCACACGAGCTGAATCATTGCTTTTATAAAATCTGTTTTTTTCTTGTGACATCTTTGCACCTTTTTCTGTGAATTTTTGTTTTGCTTTGACTTCCATTATGGCAACTCGCACACGTGTGGCTGCCACAGGGCTCACCGCCGCTTTCTCTTTCAACAAATTTTTATGGAGAGAGTATAAAGAAGGGAGAGAGACACAGAGAGAGAAACATTGGTGTAAGAGATTGGTTGCCTCCTGCACACGCCTACTAGGGCTGGGAATTAGTACATGACTCTGTTCGGAATCAAACCCAGGACCCTTCAGTCGGCTGGCAGATGCTCTATCCACTGAGTCAAACTGGCCAGGGCTATTCCTAGGTATCGTAAATTTTTTTGTTGCTATGGTAATGGAATTATTTGTTTAGTTTCTCTTTCTGAGACTTCATTATTAGTGTATAAAAATGCCTTGACATAAATTTTAAATGATCTAAAACTACATTTTATAAATGCAAGTTCTTATTTTTAGTAGCATGAAGCTACTTTTCCTATGTCTGCTTTCCATTACTTTAGTGCATATATGGACTTACGTTAGGTGGGGTGCCCTGACATGCGGTGTTGAAGTGGGGAAGGGCCCTTGTGTTCATCCCAGAGCCCAGCCATGGTACA